GGACAGCAGAGCACGCTGCCCTGGGGGCCTGGGGAAAGCGTGCCAGCCCAGGCCAGGCGCCCTGTAGGTGGAAGAGACTCAAAATAGGTCTACAAATCAGAAAAAACACCCCAAATCCCCCTGAGAAGTGAAACCTGCCCCTGTTAGAAGAGGCAAGATGCCCTAAGGTGGAGCTACGCGTGGGGTGGGGGCTGTGTCAGAGACGGGGGCTGGCCCACCCAACACCTCCCCACAGGCCCACCAAGCCGGGCTCTGTGCCCTGACCCGCTGCCCAGAGCTGTGCGGCCTCTGCTCCTTTTTCAGCCACTTTCACTAAGGAAGCGACCTCGGTGCCTCTGCATTCATCCCCTGCATCAGGCGGCATCCTGGCCCTTGTCTCGGGCAGCACAGAGCTTCTCAGTCATGAGAACAGGGAGGCGGGTGCCGGCCTGGGAGTGGAGCACACGTCTTTCTAGAGCTGCCAGGGTGGAGGGAGCCTGGCGGGTGGATCTGTGTCCGGGTCTTTCTGGTAACATCCTGGATCCTTACCTCCCGTTCCTAGGATCTCAAATCTCAGACAGTCTTCGAGCACACAGGTAGATTAATGCGCTCGGTGACAAAGGAGAGCGGTCGTGTACACCAGCACCACACACAGGTCTCTGTCAGGGGCCTTACTTGGTGACAAGGCTAAAACACGGCATTCAAAGCCGGGCCCTGCCCCAGCTCCTCCAGGACCCCCCTCAGTGAGCGGTGACTTCACCGCTCAGGCTGAAGGCTCTGGTGTTGGCCCCGACGCCCGTTTACACCCCGCTCTGGTCTCCCAGTAAACCCTGGGGCTCTCCCTGCCAGACATATCAGTGTCTGACCACTTCTCACACCAGCTCTGCTACACCTGGGGACGCCCCAGCACCTCTCTCGGCTCTCGCCGCTCCCCCAGTCTCTCAGCACAGCAGCCAGAGCGTGTGTCAGATCGTCTCTCCTCCACTCAAAGCATCTCCAAATAAGAGTCCGGGTCTGAGCGGGATCTGCCCACTCCCTACCTCCCTGACCTCCTCCTACCACCCCCCACCTCCTCCTCTCCACTCCAGCCACAATGGCCTCCTCACCACTCAAAGCCATGAGGCACATGTGGCTTCAGGGCCTCTGCGCTTGTTCTTGCCTCTGCCTGGAAAGCTCTTTCTTCTCCAGGTATCCACCTGGCTTACTCTCCCTTCCTTCAGGTCTCTACTCAAAAGTCACTTCTTCTGAGACCCTCCTCCACCCTCTCTGACAGTCAACCCCTCCCCTGCCCCTACAGGTCATGGCCCCTCTCCTTTCTTTCTTTCTTTTTCTTTTGAACATTTATCACTATCTAACATGTTTTCCACTTATCTTGTTTATTATTGGATTTCTCCCAACCAGAATGTAAGAACCATGAGGCAGGGATTTTTGTGTCTGTTTTGTTCTCTGCTGTGTCCCAGCACCTAGAATGATGCCTGGCACATGGCCGGCATTCAGCAGATACTTGCTGAATGACTGAAGGAATGAATGACCAAATGTTGATTTCACAGTAATCAAGAACCAAGACCAGCCTCCCTACTTTGGAAATAGAACCTGCTGCTGCAGTGGTGACCAGGACGTTCGGCCTTCACAAGGCCTGAAATAGGTGCTATAAAAAAGGGACCGAGATAGCCCAGGAGCCCCAAACAGTCGACAGGGAATTCTGCATGTTTATGATTTAAAGTGTGAACCTTCCCAGGTGTGAGAGATGTTAACAGGCAGGGGACCTGGGCCACGCTGTGGTCAGGAAGGCCCGAGCACATTAAGTACTGCACAGAGGCCATTTAAGTGAAAGACTCGGCCCCACTGGGGTCAGAGTGGGGGAAAGGCAGTAAGCGGGCACCTTGGTGACGCAGAGATAACATCCACAGGAAGCAGCTATCTCCACCCCCTCGGGCTGGGCCACAAGAAAGGAAGAGGTAGGGATAGCAGGTCCAGATGAAGAGGGTAGGCTGAGAGGCCAAGCTTCTAAGGAGAAAGGAAGACAGAGCAGGACAAGTCCCGAGGTGGGCCTCGCCCAGACAGAAGACCAGGCAGGTGAGCTGGGGGCAACGCGCCTCCACTCCACAAGGGGTATAAATACCTCCGCACGTGTGTCCCCGTGGCTGTGAAGCACACGAGGCCCGGATGGTGACCAAGCCTGACATCAGTGTGTGCGCAGCAGGGAGAAAAGACACATCCTCTCCACGCAGACATTCTCCCCCACTGTGACACTAGAGGAGACAAGGGCTCTACACCCCTTTAACTGTCCACAGACTCAAAATGCAAGAGGGGCCAAGGCCTTCACCCCGAGGGGTCCCGTGAGACATTCACAGGAGCTCCCCGCCTGCTGTGGGCACGAGCTCAGAACCAGACTCCCTCACGAGCTCTCTAAGGAACCTGGAGAGCACACGCCTCACCCAGCCCAGAAACATTTCAGTAAAGGTAAACCGAGGGAACCTGATGGGGAATCACACTGTGGAAAGCGGCACTGACGATACAACACATGCATCTGGCTGCCTTTTGTATTTACAGCTTGTACATCCAACCTTCTTATGCAAATAAATTTGCATGGAAATAAGGCAGAATCTTCTTGTACAGGACTGGGATGTATTTTACTTAGCAAACAATTTCCCTGGACTTAAAAGGATCTAAGAAAGGAAGAGGACTCCCCCTGGGATGTACCACAGAAGGCAAGCGGTGCTGGGGGAGGGACCAGCCCTCCAGTGAGCAGACAGGACTAGAACCAAGGCCTCCCCTCCTCGGGCTCCAGGCCTCCATCTGCTCCCCTCCAGGGGCTGCTAGGCGGGCCGTTGCAGGAGGTCTCCACTGGACAGGACCTGGCAGAGGCAGTTCCAACAGTTCCAGCATGGGCTGTTGTGAAGTCCTTCACGCCCACTCCCTGGTCCTCATCCTAACCACCCCCGCTGCCCCCGCCCCCCACCATGTCTAATACCTATTTCTGATTCCCCTCTTTAGACACATGAAAGCAGCCATCATATCCCTTCTGAGTCTTCTTTTCTTCCTGGTATTACCCTCTTCCTAAACCTTCTTCACCTGTAGGTGGTCCACTCTTCAGAGGCACTCTGTGTGTCTACACCTCACGAATCCAGAATTGACCCAGCACAACTCCCATGAGCACAGGAGGGACAGAACCAGGGCGTGTGCATGGCGGGCGCGTCATGGGCCTCACACTCACCTCCCTTCCGCTCCAGGTAAGGGGTCCTCACTACCATATCCCAGGGACTAAAGCCAAACCCTCCTTCCCACTGGCTACAACCCTCCCCAGAAGCAGCTGATGCTGAGGGCAACCAGCACAGTGAGTGTGTATGGAGGGCTCAGTGCTGCCAGACACTCTACCGTGAATTCTAATCCTCACACAGGAGTAGGCAACCGGGGCTAGTTACAGGGGAGGAGCGACATGGGGAGATGGTCCAACGCATCTGCCTGGGGCCACAGCTGAGCGGGGCCACCTGACCCGAGCGAGACCTGGAGGGCAGAGGGGACGGCGCCCTGCCAGCTCTCAGGAGCTCCAACTTTTTATGGCCCGCCTTGTTCTAGAAAGGATGCAAGTCATAGAATAAACTGCTGTTCCTTCATCTAAGCTTTACAGATTTGGGCACTCATTTGTTAAATTAAAAAATACAGTAACACACACACTCAAATAATAAACTCAGCAAAACTGCCGCCATGCTTGAAATGATACACTATCCCCAGAAAGGCATAAAGATGAGAACCGGAGCGGAGACACGCCGGAGAGGCCGGCCTTCTCACTCAGGGCCTGCAAACTTGCTGGCTTTGGGAGCCTTTTCAAGTAATGTGTCTGCTAGAGGATGTGTCATGAGAACTGGGCTAATTACCCATATAACTCACACACGGGTGGGGGGCTATGACCAGGGGCAAGAGAGGTTATCGCAAGACCTCAGGCAGACGGCAGCTAAGGAGACTTGCCGGCCACCCTCAGCTTCAGGAAATGCCCCCAGAGGTGCTGCCAGGTGTCTGCTTAGAGGCTGCAGAAAGGAAGGCTTCCGAGTGAAGGGTCATCGATTCTCAGAGCTGCAGGTGGTCACACACCAAGGGGAGGCAGGAGGCCTGCCCGGAAGTCCTACAGACTTCCTGGCCCCTTCTCGCCCACTCCCTCCTCTGGCCCCTCCGCCCAGGAGGCCCACCCTGCTTCAGCCTCTCCCTGCTTCCTTCCCTCTTCCAGGCTCCCCTCTGCCTGGCCTCCAAAGGGCAGCCCGTGGGCTGGGCGTCAGCTGGGCGGGAGGAAATGGGAAGCCACACCAGTTCTCTGAAAACTCGAGTCCCCAAGAGCCAGGACCAGTCACAAGGACAGGGAGGAGGCGGCCGCAGTTAATCAAACCCGAATGTGGACCCAACCCTGGGGTGGGGACCCGAGCTCTCCCCTGCGGCCTCCGGCGGGGCAGCCCCTCCCGAGAAGTGATAGAGGGCTGCGTGGCACCTCGCCCTCAGGCTCCTCTGTCACCAGAAAAGAGGCGCGGCCCCCCGGTGAGGACTCTGAGGGGTGGCAGACACGACGCGACCCCCAACTGGACACTGTCGTTAACTCTTCCCAAACGTTTCCCCAGCGCCCTCCTGCCGCCGTCCGGGCGGGGCGGGGCGGGGTGGGGTGGGGTGTGAGGCGGCCACCACTCCCGACCCGGGCTGGGACTGAGCGGCCTGGGGCGCAGCACTGGTGCCGGTCAGGGACTCGTCCTTGGTGACGGTCAGGGCGCCCGTCCCGCCGACCTCGGCCGCAGGGCCTCGGGGCTGCGGGGGCGACTTCTCGTCCTCCCACCACTGCCGCCCGGGCGCCCTTCATCTGGGGCGGAGGGTCCAGTGTGTCCCGTCCCGTGCCGCGGACGGAGGGGACAGCCGCAATCTCGATTTAACGAACTTCCCCTCCTTCCTTTACCGCACTTTAGAACGACCTCGCAGCCCTGCCTGCCCAGGAGCCCCTCCGAGGCGCCCCCGCCCCGCCCCCCCGTGCCCCGGCCCCGAACCTTGCCGCAGCGGCGCGCGCGCCAGCTCGGGCCGGTCCTCGGGGAAGGCGTCGCGGAGGCGCTGCCACAGGCGGCCCAGGTCGGCGAAGCTGCGGTGCAGGTAGAGCACGCTGCGGTCCGACCACTCGGTGCGGATCTCGAAGAACTCCTCCTCGTCGCCGCGCCGGCTGACGATGAGCCTGCGGATGCCGTTCACCCAGCAGCCGCGCACGAACATGTTCACGAGCGACGTGCCCTCAAACACGGCCGAGGCCATGCCGGGGGCCGCGCATGCCCCCGCCGGGGGGAGCCCTCCGCCCCCGCCGCCCGCCGGCAGGAGGCGCCTCCGGGCGGGCCGGGCTCTGCCGGGGGCTGTCCGGAGCCGGCGTCCGTCCGCTGGCTGTCCGACCCCGGCGTCCGTCGGGGTCTGCCCCCGGCCTCCACGCGCACTCTCGGCAAAGCGCGGCGACGAGTCAGCTGGGCCGGCCAGGCGGCGGCTTTATAAGGCCCTTCCCACCGCGGGCGGCGCGGCCGTCGACGTGAGCCCCGGCCGGTCCGCCCTC